TTCTGTCTCTCTATATTCACCTGAAGTCCCGTCTTAGCTGCCTCTTCTGTCAACTTTAGTTTTTGCCTGCAGATCTTCAAGTTTATGTGACATTAGGCACAAGTGATCGGCGAAATCCAGATCTTCTAGGTTCTTTTCTGCAGTCCAGCCAGTGCATCCCCTCTTCTCGCTCCCCACTGTTTGCTGCATGATCCAGTCGACCACATAGGCCTGTTAAACTTATGTTTTAACTTGTCAACGGGAAATCGTAAGTTGGCTTTTAGGGTAGAACGGGTTCTGAACTGTCAGCTTAGGCAATAGAGCGTGTAACACATTGGTCAGTAATACGTTAGAAAAGTTGTTCATCGCGTAAAGTACAGATTGATGTAAACCATTGAATAAATATGAATAAAAGGGTGTACTAATAAGAGATAGTATCTGGGAGTGAAATCGAAGATGAGTGTTTTGTTCTTTTGAGGAATCAATATCTGAATATATCTGCCTTCCAGTAAGTATTGTTGCCACTGAGGCTTGAACCTACTAACAAATAATAACCAATCAATGACAGTAAAATACATTATTGTATCTATTTACTGTCATAATTATCACTCCTATTTTATATTCAGTCGACTCTGATCACCTAGAAACTTGATATAAAACATGATTTATTCAGAATTCTCACACTTCAAACTCAAATTAAATTGAAGTCGAAATAAGATGACATACACGTCGTACAGATCGCCTAAACAGAACTCCTAGTCTGAATCCTAATATAACCTAATTACTTTTCAACACAGTTGATATAATTCATACGGTATTCTGCCTATTGCTAAATACAGAAATCGCTTTCAACGGCGCTGTCAGAAAGGAGTGGGCTGGAAATGACCCACCTTTACATGTCATGTTATGTGTTGGCTATAAAAAGAATCATAAAAGTCAATACTATGACTTCATCAAAGTTGTCAGTTATCATATTTTGTTCGATTCATGCCTTTCTGTTTCCAAAGTATTGTTGCCTAACGAATCGGTTACGTATATTCTGTTGTTTAGATAAAGAATCAATACTGTGCTTGATCGAACTTTATTAAAATAGTCTATGTATTTTGAGAATAATGGAGATTTTATTTTAAAGTAGTATTCATTACGGACTTATATCAGTCGGCGAACAACTGAGAATCTTTGGTCACTGGACAGCTGTTTCGTTCTAGTATGGAACTCCTCAGAAGTACACACCTACGATCCTGTAAGGGATTCAGCCCAAGACTTTCAGGTCTCATAGAGAACGCTTCAACCATTCAACCATATTCTGTGCTGAATTTCGCATCACAATTAGACAACAGATTTCATTTTAGTCAATGGAACTGTAACCTAGTTCTTAATTCCTATTATGAAGCTAAAAAGATATTCACAGAAGGACACTTTTTTGACGAATTTATTCTCAAGCTGTAACATTGTCTATATATATGTGATAATTAAAGACTGCAGTCCGTGAACATTATTATGATAGCAATAACCATCATTATTGTGATTTCAGTCTCCATAAGCCAAATTTAACTTTCATGGATTGGAGTCTTTAAATATCACATACAGCTTGAGAATGAATCCGTTAAAAATAGTGATTTTCGCTCATTACCTGGTTTTTTGGTATGACTTGAATAAGGTTTATGCTTCATGAGTAAACTGAAGGAGAATGGTCCCACCCTTCCAAAGGCCACAAGTCTATATTTTATTATGGCAGTGGTTTTCTTTTCAGACTCTCTTATTGCTTTAAACTTTTACTATTATTGTTTTTATTATTGCCACAAAAGTTGAAAATCTAGCTCTGAAGGTTCTATTAAACGTTAGTTATTCTTTTGAACTTCCTAACAGATAATGATAAAGATTTGGTAAGAAGATTATGCACTGCATAAACTGGCAAATCGACATTCCAACTTTCATTGGCATTTACCACTTAAAAATCACAATAATGATCATTCTGTAATCTATTTGTGCACAAAATTAATTCAAATAGGAAAGACAGTTATGACTGGAATATTTGAGTGTTACACAGTTTGACTTTCATACTGAAATGACACACGTTCCAGTCAGCGAGTTTTCTCAAGTTTCATTCACCTAGTGAGTGTCAGTAAACATGAAACTTTGGGCAGGTTAGTCCTTGTTTGCGTGTTGACTTATATAACATCTTACACTAAAATATAAAATATTGCCTGTCTGATGGTAGTGTGCCAGAAGTCACACACATTACATGTGGTATAACTTACCAGTAAGGTGTATAATGAAGACCATGCCCTCTTAGAGGTGTCATCTTCAGTATTTCTTGTCATCATTACGAAGCTGAAAGTTAGGGCGTAAACATAATAACAGACACTTTAAAGACCTAGACATGATGTGCGAGTTGATCATATTTTAATACTTTTTCTTTGCTCACTTCCTAGGGAGTGAGTGGAATCCGTCCATACAGACTTGTTTACTTCTGCCTGGCAATTCAATCTTAAGTTTTTTTCTACGAATAGACACTTTTTGAGGAAGTCGACGGTTAATCCTTAACTGTAAAAGCGTTTTAAAGGTGACTTTCTTCTTATTTTCATAGTTTTTGCTGCTGCTATGTGTCCCGACACATTAGAATAGTGTTTGTATAAAATTTTGTTTATGAAGCACTAATCTGTTACTAATTTATATCAAATTCGATGCATATGTGTCACCTTCTTGTACACTTGAGTTCGTATGGTTCCGTCTCGTGATTTAGTAGTCAAAACATGTAAAAATGCTATTTGGTAAATTCCTTTTTATTCTTTATTAAACTGAATACTTTTAAAAGTCTGAAAATAGCATTGACGTTGTCAATACAAATAATTATTGGAAAGATTACTGATTTTAATCTCGGCTTCACTACCTCATCGAACAGTCTAGATACTGGTGAGCCCATGACAGTTCCACTCGTTCGCTTGTAGATCTTCCCATTGAACTGAAAGTATGTTGTGAGAAATTGAAGTTGATTGAAGTGAAAAATACAGTTACATAAAAAGAACATCTTTTACTTTGTTATCTACCTAGAAGTATTTTAATCTTCCTAGGAATTCCAGTTGAAGTTTATGTGGAACAGCAATATTAAATAGGAATCCTTACAATGGAAGGTTTAAGTGGAAATAATGAAAGGCTAGATGATACAGAAATAATTGGTAAGTAAGTGAAGGTAAATGTGTATTCAAATAACTGTTCAGAGTTTCCTTCGTGAAAAAAGATGATATCAATATCTTTTTTGTTATATACCGCATTGAATACTACCTAGTTTTATGTTTCACTATCTAATTTTAGTAACTGTTCAACATTCAATAGATGCTACAGCGAAAATCAAATCTACAAATGACCTTGACATTTTTATTTTTACGTTCAATGAAAATGTTAACTCTGTTCGCTTTTTTCTAATAGATAATATTAATTTAGGCCAAAAGCGTAAGCTACAGTTTAGTCTATAAGAGTGAAATAAATCCATTTTTCAGTATTATCGTTATCTCGAAGAAAGATTGTTTTTAACAAAGGAAAAGAACAGAAAATATGAATTTCTTTGATCAAGGTTTATATCTGTTACACATTTCAGTTTGAAAATATGTGGCACATATGCATCTAATTAACGGTTAAAAAGCGAGGCATTTGAATTACTGGAATTCCTCCGACTGTCTCCAGTCAATGAATCTAGTGTATAGTTTTATGCGGTAATTATATCACATTAAGCTAAATGATACGAAAATGTAAGTGGAAACTATTTCATAACCATTTCATGTGCATAACCCAGTTTTCAAAACATAAAAATCTTTTTGTACACCTTATAAATGATATAAGCAACTTTGAGACTGAAATGTATCTATTTGAATCTTGAAGGAAGAATGTGAAGTTTTGAGCTTGCCAATACAATGCTTCTTTTGCATGGATTACTTCAGATACTAAGAAGATTGATTTTCCAGTAAACAGCCTACCATTTCATCTGTGTTTATTCTTTCAGTAACGACTCATTCTAGTGTCACATACTCTTTTCATTTTTTCATTGAATATCATGTTAAAAAGAACATATCTCAACCCCTAGCTCTATGTACATATGTTATACATATATATTGGTCTACATATGAGTTTAAGCGACCATATGTTAATTGACACGTGTTGCAGTCAACTCATATCAGAAATAGCCTGTGAGCTGTGAAAAGTGCCAATATCCATAATTGGAGGAGGGAATACGCTATGAGGTCTCATTCTCACGGACTAGGTCTTTAGGCACATTTCATACTAATTTCTAGTCAATTTCCGCTGATCAGTACAGTGATACGGCTGACTAACTTATTATTGATGGTTGACCAGAAAAAAAGTTGAATCATATTAGTTGAATGGAGGAAATCGTCAGGAAGCCCTACGTATAGGTTTCGTGCTTCTTGGTACTCGTAAAAAAGGCAAATCTGTGATCTCGACAGAACTGATGTCTCATCTGAGATTCAAATCCGTGTCACCCAGTACTGCAGTTAAAGAAGTTACCACTGAGCTATTCGGAACATGGTTGACCTACTGTGAGATTAGGTTTGGTACACGAATTGGTTACTACAGGATAATAAACCTCATGAGTGACTGAATTCAATCGAATCGCCTTTGATTTACTAAGTAAAGGTTCCAACGGTCTTTACTGGCATATCTAATTAGCATACATGTCAATAAACTCTTGATATATATAATTTTCCTTACTGCTGCGCATTTGGTGACAAATATTCATTCATGCATTTTGAGGATAATGAAGATTTTTTACTTAAGGTTGCATATACCATAGACTGACATCAGTTAAAGAACTCAGTGCACTACTGAGGAGTCTTAGGTTTGTAATGGTTCTCCAAATGATGTCAGTCTATGATGAAGGTTACATTAGATATCTACTATTCCAAGATGCATGTAGAACAAATTTCCCTCTCTAACAAGAGAAAAGCATAGAAATTCAGAATGCTAATAAGATAGACAAAGTTAAATATGAAATGAAATGTACTTACACCATGCTAACTGTTCCTCCAGTGTCATGGATTCCTCTTTCACTTCAACAGCATCATCAGTGATGGATATAGAAAATTCAACAGTTGTTGTTTCATTTGGTGTTTTAATGTGAATTTGTGGTTCCGTTGTGGAGTCATCATCATCTAAGGATAAGATAAATGTGGCCTCAGTATCACCAGACATTTAATTTCTCAGTTTAAAAAAATATATTGAATTTCTGTTTATTAATAATTCCTTTTAATTCCAAATTATATGATGATGAGTTTAATACTATATGAAACGTAGTTTGGCTTGGTCATATGAGTGTAAAAGATGTACCTGTATATGAGTACGATTGATGGTGAGAATAGTTGAAGGAAAGAGTTGAGTTGGATGTGTAGATAGATGTTTTACCTAGTGTATTTTCAATTTACGTCTAAATTCATATATATATGGTAATATTATATAGGTATTTATTTACAAAACTGTTCCGTCCAAACACATCAAAATGATTTCAGTTTATGTACTCTTCCTTTTGTTTTGTTTTGATTCATACTAAATTATGGTTCCATTTTAACATTTTTAAAAACAAAAGAAAGAGAACAATATCGCTAATTATTTCCGATATTATTTAACTCGGTGATATTGGAAAAATACTTTAGCAAGTAGTGTAATGTTACTGAATGACAAAAGTTGTGTACGTGTGTTGGACACCGACACGGACAGTTAGATAGAAACTACGTCTACACCATTGGCCTTAATTCATTACATGTCTTCGTGTACAGAGAAATGACTGACATATAGTTAGACAGACACATGCATATATACATAATATATTATATATATATATATATATATATATATATATATATATATATATATATATATATATATATATATATATATATATGGATTGTCACAACATTTTGGTTGACGAATACCTCTACACGTTTTAAATAAGAAAATAAACTAGCGTACTTGAAGTCACAGCTAGAGAAAACGTTTACATGACTTTTTAAGCTGTTCTAACGTCCATTGCATGTATATTATTGTGTTTATGGATAGAGGGAAGGTCGCTATGAATGTGATGAATTCACTTCCCATAATATATTTTCAAGCGACAGGAAGAAAGTTTACGTCATTCTGTGAAGTTCCTCAAATCAAATTTCTTTATATTTTATTTAATTTGGACAAGCAGTATGACATGTTCAGTGTTGTATATGTATGGTTGCGATATAATTAAACTTGTAAGATTTCTATCTTTTTCCGTGTGATTACTGGATTTTCTTGGTCCACAAAATATATCTATCGTTTGTATTAGTTGGTTTTTGAGGTCTATGGCTAAATTTCATTTAAAATTTCGTTCAAGCAGTGAAATAAATGACTTCTGGTAAATGAGCAAAGCTCATTGTAATGATACTTGTGATTTCCCATTGCTATACAGGGCCGAATTGGTCGACCTCCGTTGGAAGATGGGCTCCTATGCGGGCACCTCGATACTGCCGGATATTCATGATCTTGGTGACTAACAGACGAATCCAGCAAATGTCAAGCAATTAGGCCCTGTATAGCAACGGGAAATTACTAAAATCAATACAACAACTGATACCCGTTGCACAGAAGGCGGCTATCATTCCCCAGTGGCTTGGTGGATAACGCGTTTGGCGTTTGAATCGGAGGGTACCAGGTTTGAGCCCCAGTGAGAACCTCAACACTCGCTAGGATGCAGGTATATTCGGCTGGCTAGTAGCAAATAGGACGAGACGCACATCCTCAATACTTTGGCTAGCCACAAATAAACAAAAAAGCGTGATAAACAGTCAGGTAATATCGAGGCATACTCACAGGAGTCCATATTGTCAACAGTGTTTGAACAAGTCAATTCAGTATGAAAACGGAGAATTACAAGTATGTCAACAAATCATTTCATGCTTTGTTAGAGAACTGCTTCCAAGTACACATAAATTTGTATTCTTTGCAAGTTGAAATAGCCTGAATTTAGATGGCTTCTTACATGCTGTAGACAAAAGATACCAAGTTACTCTCCTATTTTCATATGATCAACTTTGTTTCTATTTTCTTCACACTGAGTTTCAGTGTTCTGATTTCAACCTTTTGTAGCCTTGAAGGATGCTTTCAGTTTTGAGGAGATTCTAGCAATAAGTTATCTTAGATCCGGGGTTCGCTATACGAAGTAGAGTGACATAAAGCAAGGAAAAACAGAAAATTAGTAAATTAATGTTCTTACTATTTGTCAATTGGGATCCTGGTGGAACATACGGTTACACTTGCATGTCTCCATTTCACTCTCTTCTCTACAGTCTTTTCAACCTGGAACCACGACTGCCAACAAGCTTTTATTTCTTCCTCACACCATCTCCACATCACACTCTCCTCAGATGCCCAATTTAGTCGTTCCCCATGCAGGTTCCATTCGACGGACTGGACTGGCCTGTCCTGGCCTGACGCGTAATGTCCCCAAATCGTCTCTCCAATCGTTTGTCCAGTCCAATTCATCTCCACATTCTTCTGCATATTTGTTCGGCGATGTGTTCTAGGTTGGTTCGTTACCAGCCAGTCAGCCAGTCAGCCAGCCAGCCAGCCAGCCAGCCAGCCAGCCAGTTCAATTCTTAGTTTTGAATGCACTGCATTGTTGAGTCTCTCCAGGATGATGCGGCTTGATATTTTGCCTGCTTGGTGTGCACAGGAATCGAGCATGATACCACGCCAGCTCTTCTCCTTGCAAACACTAAGGTCTCTCTTCTTTGGCAGTTTGACAAGGTAGCCCTTCCTCCAATCGATAGGCACCTTCATCTCCTTCCTTCCAAACCTTCTGAAATAGTGGTGTGGTGTGAGCATGTCCACTGATGTCTCTCAGTCTGTTTTCATTGCTGCTGGAGGAATTCCATGTGGTCTTGCTGTTTTCTCGGCTTTCAGTCAGTTTATGGTGTCACGACTTCACTCCTGCTTTTGTCGGAGAGCTTGTTGTGTTTACTGGTCATTCTGTGGCTGGTCTGTTGGTAGTATTTCTGGACGAGTCGCAGTTGTTGGTGGTCGATTCAAGAGTTTTTTGAAGTGGTCAGCCCACCATGTCTTTTGTTTCTCCTTTTCCGTGATAACTAAGGTTCCTTCATCATCTTTTATTGGTTTCCTCTGTGTTGATCTCTTCCCTCCCAGATATTAACCTGTCTTTTTGATATTGTGTAGTCAGTTCTCTGTCTGTCCTACCCGCAGCCTGTTCTGCTTCACTTGCAAGTGTGTCGTAGAAGTGTCTTTTGTCTTTGTGCTCACTGTTCTTCGCTTCTTTGTCCAGTGTAGTGTTTGATGTGTTGTGTTCAGTTCCTCTTTTCGTTGTTCATCCCTGCACTTCACTCGACTGGTTCATCTTCTGCTTCATCATCATCCTCTCCCTTCTCTATCAGCTTTCATGTGTCCGTTCAGATCCATTGCATTCCTTTTTTTGTGTTTCTTTCCTTCCTATCGCGATTATGCAGGTTTGTTTCCACAACTCTTTCAGATTGTTCCAGCGTTCTTGCATGCAGGTTTCGTCAGGGATATCACTTAATGTCTCCCACCTTTTCTTGATGGCTGACTGACATTAAGATGTCTTTTGTGGTTTCATTCTTTAATTTCTGTTCTGGGTGTTCAACATGTACTGTGGTCGTATATCATCAGCCTCTCTGAATGCTTGATCACCTTGATTTTCAATGTTTCCTGCACTAGATATTCTGGTGATCTGAACCTACATTTGCTCCCCTTCTTCATCTTGGGTCCAGTAGGCTGACTGCGTCTCCACTTTCTTCACATTGAGATGAAGTCGATCTGATTTAAGTGTAGTGTGTCCATCTGGTGAATGATGAAATCAAATCCATGTCGCTGCCTTGTAATTAGTCTTGTGTTTGTACACACACTGCCTCCAATCACCAAATCATTAAGTGAGCAGAAATCTGCAAACAATTCTCCATTCTCGTTCATCATTTCACTGAGTGCTTCTTCACCCATGATTGCTTTTCTGTCTGTGTTGTCTGCATCCAGTTTGGCATTCATGTCAAACCACACATCAGAATGGATTTTGATGTCACCATCTGGAGTGGGGTTTTTTTCACCACAGATTCCAGTTTTCTTTAGAATTCCTCCATCTTCTCGTGATCTGCATTATTTATAGGTGCTTAGCGTAGCGTTGAAAGATTGTGACTTTTCTTCCTTTTCAATTGAATCTTTCTGTCATGATCCTGATCCTGATCGTTGAGAATAGTGGTTCCCATTGGATGAAAGAGAGCCTTCGATGCTGTTGGGAGGGGGATATCATGATAGCCACTCGATAACTCAGTGTGCTCTTGGTTGTCGTCTGGTTGACAATATCGGAGTGGATTAGATAATTGGCTATTCAGTTGACAGTTTGGAGAGTCCCCTTCCATTCCACCTGTTTTCGCAGATTCAAAGCACGTCTATGCTATACCTTCTCATCTCTTTCGGAATCTGGGTAGCCTTGCCAGCCATCTGTCCAGCCAGCTCCAAACATCATTCGGATATTCCATGTCGTTATGTTACTTTCGCTTTCACCGAGAGAAGAGAAAAGACATCGACCAATCCGCTTCCCGAAGGCTTTCACCAACCAGTGTCATTTCGTCTCCTCGTATCCAGTGGGGAATAAGTTCATTTATATTTTTATATTTCGTCTGTGCTTTGAAGTTTCTTTCGCGGTTAGATTTGATTGATTTTCTTGGGTATGCTTTCTGGGCTTATTGTCAACCTGCCCTCTTTTTCCGAGCTTAGGACCAGCTAGTAGACTAGTAAACTAGTAAACTAGGCGAGGTTATTTCATTCCATGTGTAATCGGTCAGTGACACTTTAATTAAAACCACAGAATTCAAACTGGAGTATATTGAGTTAGTTTACATTATATCAGGTGTGAATACAGACAATGGAAACGATATAACTCGTTATTTGTACTTAATTACAATTAAACAAGATCAAACGGCAGCCTGGTTGAACCTTAAGCTACCATCAGCTTTCCACCGTATATTTTATTGTTTTAAATATATCTTTTTAAAAACCATACACTCTCACGCATCCTTAAGATGTTTTTAACCTGGTGGTCTACAGTTTTACGATAAAATGAAGAAAGAACTTAATAGTGGAGAATATTTGTGGCTCAGGTGGATGATCTTAGTAACATTGTATTCTCTGAGTTGGGTTGTTTA